TATGAATTTTCTGGTGATTTTTATAAATGTCTAATGTCTCTGTAAGTACTAGACCTAACAATAAAAAAAAAGTACTATTACGAGATTTACGTTTTTTTTAGTTAAATTTTATGAGGTAAAATACTGGAAATATGTCGGCACTTACTTATTACAATTAATTTTTTCTCAGGTACCCCTAAATATGCTCTCTGTATCTATAGGAAAGGAAATTAATAAAAACTTCAGTTGCACGTCATAATACGATCACCAGTAAATTCCATAAGATTACGTATTGGTATCATTGATGAAGTGCATCTAAAGTTGTATTAATTTCCCTATAGTATATACTCTGGTATTATTCCTGGAGGAAATGAAAAATTAACTTTAAGCACTTTCTGAGTACTCGAATAAAAAATCTTATGAGGGTTTCTTTTAAAATGGCGAAATTAGGGAACGTTATAAGTAGATTCTCCTCGGGGTGGTTCGACCGGTGATAATTGTGAAAAGTGGCATTAAATACTTAAAAGCTGGTACAATATTAAATTAGAAGAATAGCAAACCATCGTGGATCGTTGCATAACGTCGGTTTCCAATGTTTCATAGGTATTTCATACATGCGTCCTTATATAAAATAAAGTTTCTTGTATGCAACACACTGTAGTTTATTTATAAAATTAAACGAAAATAATAATAAATTTGAATAAACAATATTTGGCGATATAATTCCGGAAAAAGCCGAACCGCTCCGAAATTTTGAAAAGTTTTGGGTTGCGACCGTTGCAAGAACAGCGCCAAATAGTGTTTACATTGTCCTTATGGGCACTTTCCAATCTAAACTTGTTGCATTTATCTATGCGTCAAATATGTGTCAAAAACTACTAAAATGAAATTAAAATATTTTAAAATTCTGTGCATAATCTCCATTTATTTTTATTTAAAACTACTACTAAAAATGGTTACTTTTTGATAAAAAAAAAGAAAAGTGCAAAAATCGTGTGTCAGGATAGTTCACCGGACCCCACTTTATTTATGCACTTAAATAAAATCAATTTTTTTTTTAAATTCTAGGAGCTACAAATCCTGAACGCATGATTGCTGCATCCTGAATAACAAACGTGTATTCGTGCCAAAAATGCAAACATAACAAAAAAAGTTATTTTTTATACAAGCCAATAAAATGGTATTTTATCGTCGTGAATAAAACAATATTTTTTCCATAGCGAGTTACGTTTTAAAAAATATTCAGAAATTATTATTTCAAGGAATTTATTACGAGTAGAAATAATATTGTGCTGAGTTGGCGTATGTAATTTGACAAATAAATAAAGCTGTCTCTTTAGCTGTCAGTCAGGGGCGGGAAAGTGAAATAGCAAAAGCGATTCCACCGTTTCCACGGAAATCTCAAATAAAATAGTTCCAGCCCTAGCCACTAGGTGGTAGTGCAATTAATTTTTAGGTTAAGAAGTTGCTACTAGTTATTGCCAGGTGGCGGTAAATCAGAATTTTTTTGTAGTTTCCATAGTTTACAACGGCCATTGTCATATTATTGTCAAATTCTCAAAAAATATTGTCGTTGTCATAGCGCCAATCATAATATTATCAAATAAATGATTATCAAAACGTTTCTCAAACTATAATTTGTTCTATGAATTTGTTATATGTGTTTTAATTAGACTTTTCCTTTTGTTTCTGGCCCTAAAAATATAATGTAAGTCTTTTATTTTTGCCATCATTTAAGTACCTATTTATACTTACTCCATTTACAAAGCTTTGGGCGTATTACGTCGGTCTTGTTTTATTATAATAAACGATGTTTAAATATTTGACTTATAAATAAGAACTTTAAATAATAAATAATATTTCACATGTTTGGCTTTAATTTTACTTAATAATTGTATATATTATATTGTTAAATCTTATTTTTTACAAATCACAACGATACTTGTTATTAGTATTGTTGAATTTGTGTAAAAAAATAATATTTAATAATCAAATCTAATTATTTTAGAGTAAAATTATTTAGTAAATACGCTCATTTAAAAAGCCCGCGCTTCGATCCATTTAAAACAAGCCCTACTCAATAGATGGCGCCAGTTCTGTAGGACCATTTTTTCAGTATGGCATAGTCCATTCTTCTTCTAGCTAGGTATATTCTTTGCTGTCAGTTTTGAGTCAATATTTTTTAATTCTCTTTCGCGTCGATTGCTGATTGAATTGGAGCCAGAAATGGCTCAAAACGAAATAAGTAAATTACCAACAGATATTCAGGATGAGGCGACAAAGGCCATATCCCAACTACTTCCATTTAAATTCCGAATAACTTATGAAAAGGAATACAACAATTTTCAAAACTGGAAGTAATTAAAAAACATACGAGAAGAAATAAAGTTTTTAATCTATCCTCGCTGTTAAAGTATCATTTAATCTCCCCTTGCGGTTAAAGTACTATTTTATCTACTATTTTTGATGGATATAAGGCAATTTTAACAGTTGGTATGGAAAAAAAAATCTTCAAAAAACATTCCTAATCTTTATCTACTCAATTTAAAGACACCATCACGCCAAACACTTCCTCCTTTATAGAGGAAAAATAGAAAAAGAACTATTCATACCTGAGAATAGAGCGCTGTAATAAAATTAAACGCCTCTTTGATAAGATAAAAGTAAAACCATTGTCCGGACTCTATCTTATTCCGCTTTTCTCTGGAATAGCGGATTTTTGTCTGCCCGGCAAAGAGAGCCCCGGAAAAACTTATGGAGGAGTTTAATAGTGCTCGTTTGTTTTATCCTAGATATTTTCTTGCCTCTTACGTTGCCACTTAAAGCGTCTAAGAAAAAATAAGTAGCGGAGAAAATTAATAAAAAAATTCTATGCTAAACTTTCTAAAATATAAAATAGTTTTTCTTGGTTAGATTATTTCTTTTTTAGAAAGACACCATCACGCCAAACACTTCCTGCTTTATACTGGAAAAATAGAAAAAGAACTATAAATTCTATAAAAAAAAGAAACTATATAAATACAAAAAATGAATATTTTTTCTATTTAAAGCATTTTAGAAAGTTTGACATAGAATTTAGAACACCCTGTATGGTTTGAGATTACGATATTTATATAGTAAACGCCACGAATGTTTGGGAGTGATTCATCGGTCGCTACCATGTGAACCTTTGAATAAGAAGACTAAGGAAGGAGCATATCAAAAATCTTAGGTACACCGCGATGGGCCTCAAATATGGCCGACTTAAATTCCGGTTTATCAGTGTCGTTCTAATTTTATTTAAATAATGTAAAACTATGATGTAGGGTAGACGTGGGGCAGATTCAATAATTTGTTGTTTTATTTTACGTTGTGAATAAATGTTGGTAGTTATTAAAATTGTTATAAAAATATATAATTCTAATAAAAATAGATAAGTTATAATAAGTATTTATTAACACAAACATCCGATACGCTACTGAAGCAGGTAAGTCAAATTAACGTATCTAAATTCTTTGACATCTAATCTTTGACAAGTAATAAATAAAAGCTAAAATGCAAGAAAAATATATAATTTAATTAATTTAAGTGAATTTCATAAATGATCGGTTTACTACACGTATGTATATTGTATAGTCACTTACTAGCGAAAAGTTGTTCCATTATTTCACTCAATTTTTGCCGAGATCTACCGCACGCTACACAACCAACTATTTTAGAGTCTTTTTCGATAAATCGCGATAGTGTCACTGTTAATTTAAGTTCTGCCACAATTTCCATGTAGATTTACTACCTTTATACAACTATCAGTAGTAGAATAAATAATAAATAACATAAAATAAGCTCCGTAAAGACTGACAAATCCACAAAATTTCAAATCAAATTCAAATGTGTCAAATGAATCGTCAAACAGAACTGTCAAGGATCCCCACCCTAGAGAGCTTTTATGGTGGCTTTTCCGCCCACCATGCATGAATACATGGATAGCATTATGCTCCTTCCTTAGTCTTCTTATTCAAAGATGTGAACTAACCTGTTCAAGGTCACATAAAACTTAATTCCAGTGCCGTGGTGTTTCAAGTCATATAATAATCAATATATAATCTGTTGTAATTTGTTGTTTTAACTGTCAAAGTCTTGTCAAAACATATATTTGGTAATAAATATAAAATGGAATGCCCCATTGGTCGCACTGCAAGCACACCAATGGACTGACGCACAAAAACGAATCAATCAAAGAAACGCGATATAGTATCGTCTTTGTCAATCACGCTTAACATTTAGAATAAGGAGGAGCGCAGGCAGATGATTAGACCGGGCCTTTAAAAACCTACGTTTGCGGTAAAAATTTACGTTTTTAATGTAAAAATGATAGTGCGCGTGTCGATTCTAACTTCATCAAGCGATGAATCACTCCCAAACATTCGTGGCGTTTACTATAGCAATGTAAATATATACCAACATTACAGTATATCCCCGGATTATCTTTACAAGTGGAAAAACTATTTTATTATTGACATTTTAAAAAAATGCATTCTTCATAAAAAATTTTGCTTGTTCTAAAATGGTTAATCCCGTTTAAACTTTTCCAAATTTCCATACCGTTTTAGAGAAAAAAAAATGAAAATGTAGTTAAATTTTTCCTAAAACTCAAAACGCGTTTCTGTGGTAATATATTTTCTTTTTCATTCTTTGATAGATCATTATTGACAGAATTTTAATTAACATCATATTTTTTGCTTGTGTAAAAATATTTTGGAAATATTTTTTTTTCGTTCCACCATATTGTCCAATTCGGCTTTCGCCTCGTTGGACAATTTTGCGTCCCATGCTTAAAATATATTCATTTCGCAACTTGTTACATAAATAGCTATTTCTATGGATAAACTCTTTGTCACACAGTATAACAAGGAACAGAAAAGAATGAAGCTTCATAAGCATTATTTCCATGCTTCCCCATCAGAAACCGACAAAACTTGTTTCGACAATGGCCGAAGACAAAAAGCCGCCAGCTTGCAGAAAGACGGAACGGAAATACTTACGGTAAAGTTTGATCGTTCCATCTGTCTCGCCGAGGGAATTCTTGGCCGTGCACTTGTACGATCCGTAGTCGGCCATGCTCACCGACTTAATGGTTAATTTCATATGCACTTTGTAGGTGTTATCGACCAGGACCGGTTCGTATTTGGCTCCTGAAACAGAAGTAAACTCGTTGAAATGGCAACGTTAGAGTCGGGGAAGAGTTGAAAGTAAGTTTAGCGTCATCGTTTGAGAAAGTTTGGGAGATTTTGTGTTCTTAATCCCTGGGTTTTCAGTTTTGACCAATTTAAAGACTTGAAATAAATGATATACGTGGTATTTTATACTATGAGAATATACCGGATGGCCAACTAAAGGTTGCTCTCACTATACCTTCCATATCAGCTCCCTTGCGTTTCCCTTCCGTTTACATAAAATATTATATCATGTCAATGAATAGGACAATACACACTATCCGTTCCGTTTCCCTTCCGTTCCGTATCCTTTCCTTCCATACATTTTGGCGGACTGACTGAAGCGTATCGGAAACAGCGTTGTCAATGAAGGATTGAAATTTGAAAAGTTTATTTAAACATTTATCACAGTATCGCACTGAAAGTGTTACTTAAAATAATACATAACAGAATTTATGAGAAGTGTGAACAAGAAAGCGGCTATGAACAGTTTGGGTTTAAAAGTGGATTGGGAACACGAGAGGCCTTATTCTGTTTACAATTGATGGCGCAAAAGTGTACAGACCAACAAAAACCAATGTATGTGTGTTTCGTAGATTTCGAAAAAGCATTCGATAGAGTCAAACATACGAGACTTATCGAGATGTTGTATGAGTTGGGAGTTGACAGCAAAGATGTAACACTTCTGAAAAATATATATTGGCAACAAACAGCCCACATGAAAATTGAAAATGACAATTCCAATCCAGTCAATATACAGAGAGGAGTAAGACAGGGATGTGTGCTGTCTCCTTCGTTATTTAATGTTTATTCTGAGGCGATTTTTCGGGAAGCTTTCTCGTCAACAGATTGCGGTATTAAAGTCAACGGCGCAGTCATTAACAACATTGGATTTGCCGATGACACAGTTCTTATTGCCGATTCTGATACTGGTCTCCAGAGTTTAGTGGAACGACTTGAACGCTCCTGTAAGAAATACGGGATGAAGATCAGTTCTCTTAAAACTAAAGTCATGATATTTGGAAAGAACCAAAATGTATCAATTCCTATTAAAATAGAGGGCAATACCTTAGAACAGGTCTACAAGTTCAAATATTTGGGGTCCTGGATAGTTAACACCTTGAACAACGACGTGGAAATAAAAACCAGAATAGAACAAGCAAGAAATGCATTTCTAAAAATGAAGAACGTCTTCCAGAACCCCAGATTGGACCTAGAGTTGAGAACTAGGCTCGTTAAGTGTTATGTTTGGTCAATCCTATTATACGGAACAGAAACATGGACACTGAAAGTTCAAGAGATGAATCGCCTCGAATCGTTCGAAACATGGATATATCGAAGAATGCTTAAAATTCCATGGACAGCCCATATCACAAATACCGAAGTCTACAACAGAATAGGCAGAGAGAGAGAATTGCTCAATATAATAAAAATAAGAAAAACATCATACTTAGGGCATATATTGAGAAATGAAAAATACCACGTCTTACAATTGATAGTTAAGGGTAAGATTGAAGGAAAGAGAGGTCTTGGCAGGAAGAAACTATCTTGGTTGAGAAACATCAGAAACTGGACTCACCTAACTTTTGAAGAACTTATAAGGAAAGCCGAGAGAATCGTGAAGATTTTGCCAATGTGATCGCCAACCTCCACGAAAGAGACGGCACGTAAAGAAGAAGATCAGAGTAAATGATAAGGATAGATTCCTACGACCAATTTGCTGTTTTTTCTTATTATTTATTTATCTAGATGTTTACGCATTTTATCACTTGCCACAAGGATGAACGATCGGGTTAGGTAGAGTGTAGTTTCTTTTTGAAAGGTGTAGTTAATCGGTACAACTGTTGGTACTGGTCTGAGGACGACCCCAGGGTTTTTCACGAGGTCCACACCCTAAGAAATTGAACGTGTGGGCTGGTATTTTTAGAAATTATATTGTGAGTCCTTTTTTTCTTTCTGGAAATCTAACAGGTGATATGTACTTGGATTTACTGGAAAATACCATCGACCCAGCCCTAACTGACATCATAGAGAACAATCCTGGATACGTTGAAGAGGAACTAATATTTCAACAAGACGGTGCACCTCCACATTACTCTCAAAATGTACGTAATTATTTAAACAATAACTTTTCCGTTCGGTGGATAGGACGAAGGGGTGCAATTGAGTGGCCTCCCCGGTCGCCCGACTTGACTCCTTTAAACTTTTTTCTATGAGGACACATAAAAAGTAAAGTGTATAGCACTCCACCCGCCTCATTAGAAGACCTGCGAAGACGAATTATTGATGTTTGTTGCGAAGTGACCCCGCAAGTTCTTCACAATGTTCTAGAACGGGTTGAAAATAATTTGTAATTACTGAAATATTAGTTGACGGGCAACATTTTCAGCATTTTCTTTATTAATAAGATAAGTTTTTTTTAACTAATTCAATTTATGCCTTTTTTGCAAAAAAAAGTACTTTTCAAATTTCAGTCTTTCATATTTTCAAAATGACTCGACCGATTTTCAAAAACGAAACGGGAAAGTATAGAGAATAGAAAGCCCTTTTCATTGCGACGCCACTTGATCCCCCTTCCCATTTGAAAAAAGTTGGGGGATGACACCCCCGCTTAGAGGGTTGGATATTTTGCAATCATTTTTGGGGCAAAAGTTGTCCCCCTCACAAACAAAATTGACGTGTTTTTGGATTTTTCGAAAAAAAAATACCCTGGCTGTTATGCTTTGCGGAACGTTTTCGATGGGCCACCCTGTATGTTTCGGCTTGTTAGGCCTTTTTCAAGAGTTTTTCAAGAACTTCTATTTTTCGAACGAAATTTGAGTTCTTAAAAAACTCTTGAAAAGGCCTAACAAGCCGAAACATATATGTACAGTTAAAGTTACTCTTATTAAAAGTTTTTTGATACATCTAAAAGCGTGTTTTATTAAAATATTAATAAATAATTTAATTTCGGCTCTTCGCCAAAATTAACCATCAGCTACATTTTAGCAAGCTTAGTCCATAAACTTGATGGTTGCATTTCGAATGAAATATTAAAACATTCTCCTTGCGATGGTTTTATAGCAATCGCTTTTAAACCTCTGACATGTCTGCGGTCCTAGTCGTTTTATCACAAACTCGGCGCATTCATCATCTGGATGTTCTTTAGACTGGACACGAATTCTCCATCTGTCTCAGGTCTACTCGGATTTACCCCAAAATTATTTTAGGCGTTTGAAAACGCGTTTCGATTATTTTAGACGTTACAATGTTGTCGCATCATTTAAAAAGTCTTTTTGCTCACTTTTTAGTGCCTCTTTATAAATTGCTATTGAGATGAACCAAAAGGCAAACTATCGAGAAAGGATGTATGTAGACCTTTGAATAAGAAGACTAAGGAAGGAGCATAATGCTATCCATGTATTCATGCATGGTGGGCGGAAAAAGGACTCTAGGGTGGGGATCCTTGACAGTTTTGTTTGACGATTCATTTGGCACATTTGAATTTGATTTGAAATTTTGTGGATTTGTCAGTCTTTACGGTGCTTATTTTATGTTATTTATTATTTATTCTACTACTGATAGTTGTATAAAGGTAGTAAATCTAGATGGAAATTGTGGCAGAACTTAAATTAACAGTGACCCTATCGCGATTTACCGAAAAAGACTCTAAAATAGCTGGTTGTGTAGCGTGCGGTAGATCTCGGTAAAAATTGAGTGAAATAATGGAACAACTTTTCGCTAGTGACTATATAATATACATACGTGTAGTAAACCGATCATTTATGAAATTCACTTAAATTAACTAAATTATATATTTTTCTTGCATTTTGAGCTTTTATTTATTACTTGTCAAAGATTAGATATCAAAGAATTTAGATACGTTAATTTGACTTTCCTGCTTCAGTAGCGTATCGGATGTTTGTGTTAATAAATACTTATTAGAACTTATCTATTTTTATTAGAATTATATATTTTTATAACCATTTTAATAACTACCAACATTTATTCACAACGTAAAATAAAACAGCGAATTATTGAGTCTACCCCACGTCTACCCTACATCATAGTTTTACATTTTTTAAATAAAATTAGAACGACACTGATAAACCGAAATTTAAGTCGGCCATACTTGAGGCCCATCGCGGTGTACTTAAGATTATTGTTATGCTCCTTCCTTAGTCTTCTTATTCAAAGATGTAGACGATAAAATGATTTTTAAATCCCTTGCTGTCTTAACATATTCCACAGCGTGTTTCAGAATCTCAAACTTTCAAAATATCAACATTTTGTTTCCCTCGTATAATTGACAGATAGAAACTTTCATTAAAAAATTGAAAAGATTAATTTCGGGAGACGATAATGCAATTTTATCGTCGTGTATAAAACAATATTTTTTTCCATAGCGAGTTATGTTTTAAAAATATTCAGAAATTATTATTTCAAGGAATTTATTACGAATAGAAAAAAATATTGTGCTGGGTTGGCGTTGGTTTCTATGTAATTAGACAAATAAATAAAGCTGTCTCTTTAGTTGTCAGTTTTGAGTCAATATTTTTTAATTCTCTTTCGTGTCGATTGCTGATTGAATTGTGGCCAGAAATGGCTCAAAACGAAATAAGTAAATTACCAACAGATATTCAGGCTGAGGCGACAAATGCCATATCCAAACTACTTCCATTTAGATCCCGATTAACTTAAAGAAAAGGAATACAAACATTTTCAAAAATGGAAGCAGTTAAAAAACGTGCCAGAAGAAATAAAGTTTTTAACCTATCCTCGCTGTTAAAGTATCATTTAATCTACCATTGCGGTTGAAGTACTATTTTTTATATTCTTCTACTATTTTTGATAGATATTTCGACAATGTTAAACAAGATATTCTCTTAACCAGACTGTTCGAGATAGGAATAGTCGCCAAATACATTAGAAGCATACAGGAACTATATTGGAACCAAACCGCGGAGATAAGAGTTAACAAAAATTTATCCACAGACACC